AAAAAAAGAGAAAATATGATGATGCAATACAGACTTACTTGCAAGACTTGCAGCTCTATCAAATATATGTTCTTGGTCAATGATAAAAAAAAATGTTTTATGAACAATGCTTTAGTAATTACAGTAAGATACAAATTTTCCGAGCCATTTTTAATTTAAATCCTGATGTTGCAAACAGGAAGACAATATGACGTAGCGTAGGCACTGCAGTGACAGCTGGCATAAAGAACGGGAGCAGAGTCTTCATGATGACTCAGAGATAAAGTGCAGGCACTCTGGAACATACATCTGGGGTTTCAGCTGTAAGACTTTCCCAGAAAAATAAACATAATAATAATACAGTTACAGAGGAATATGGAGGCTGAAAAAAGAGCAAAGGATAGTGTTTACAACAATGTATGAGCTAACATTTTCACACAGTTAAACAAGCACATGAAAGGAAATTAAATCCTATTAAGACTTTGACATTGAAGCATTTAGACACAAGTAAAAGACAAGTTGTTATGGAGTCAGCTTGAAGTACTCTGTCTGATCTTTTTGTGCTTTATCATAAAGAGAACCACCTAATTAGAAGAAGGTTCTGCACCAAAGTCATATTTTATGCACTTTCTCAGCCCATTGCTATAGTTAAAAAGGAAATATTTGCTTTAAGCTCGAGACAGTTGTCCGTCATCCACTTTGAAGATGTGTTCAAAATCCAAAATGAAGCCTTTGGTGCATTGTGAGGTCTTCACCGAAAGAGCTCATTAACATACTTWCTGCACGTCTCATGGGCAAAGGGAGGAAATGCCAATGTTGATTACGTGCAGAAATAAAACAGTAATCAATGCTAATACTGCTGCTTATGCATGCAAGCACACACAAAAAAATGTCATGGAGGCAAAGTATGCAATACTTGTCTGCTTGTATGTGACAACCAGCTATTAAGTGATCAAAGGATCATTAAATTATTTGTAATAACTGTCAGTGTAAACAGGACTTTGCACTTATGCAGCATGTGATGAGAAATACAGTATGTCCTGTCAAAAAATAAATAAATAAAAAAAGCTAAGAAAAATCCTTCACCAATGTCTTTTGTGAAACCTTCAATGCATTTTCTGCCTCACTCCTGAAATAACCAGATTGCTGCGTAAGCTGCATATTTAGCACTTTTATTGCTTTTTTTTCTTCCTTCAAATTTGAAAAAAATAAATGCTACAAATCTGCTTCAGACAGGGAGGCACTTCACGATTAATGCCTTCACAACAAGCAGATGACCTCCACTTACCCCCATTTTTTACTTTATTTATTTATTTATTTTGCCTTTTTAATATCATGGAGTTACGACAAGATTCCCAACCTATATGGGGGCACATCAGAACCAGAGTAGAGTTAAATTTATTTGCCAAGGACACTTCAACAAATTGAGGGGCTAGAAATCGATCGTAATGAAGAAATACTACAGACCTTTATTTTGGACATTTGAGGGTCCCTTTTTAACACTTACCTATGATTTGATCATATTTTCTTTCATGGATTTATGTATTTGTAGTTGGTCTTTTATTGTTTGTCACAATACATACAATCATAAATTGCCTGTGGTTTTTGTGTGGATTAAACTTTTAGCCAAATATTTAATAAACCACTGTTAGGGTTTTAATAAAAGTCTTCAAAATGTAATCACTGAACATACATTAACAACAAAACATATATTTTTGGTGCTTAATTTAACATAAAATTAATTTAAAATCAATTGTAAACTTTAAATTTATGATTCAGCGCAACAAATGAACAATTTTTAAAGGTGACACATTTAGTGTGTTGTACACATGCAGTGTTGGTAAGAGGACGCGTTAAAACACTGTTTCAGTGCATGAAATACCGCGTAGAGCTCAGTTATTTTTTTGAAAGCCATGTTCAGCCGTAACTGAGGAAACATGACATTTCATGTTTAGTTGAAGTTAAACACAAAATTTTATGACAACTGACTGACTTTTTAATTGAAGTCAGTTAATTTAAGAACCACTTGTGAGTTCATTTTAAGCATTTAACTAAAAAGAAACAGCGGGAGGCTATTAAATATAACATTTGATTTAATTTCCCCTTTAAGCTAAGATTTAGTGTAGTAGTAGCTGTGAGTCATTCCATCACATGTGCCAACACACTGCAAAAACTGTCCACCTAACCAAGTTTTAAAACCTTATATCAGCCAAAAGTCTTTTTGATCTTGTTTTGAGACACATATACTAAACAAGAACTGATTGTGTAAGAATAATAATCTTGTTTTCAGAATGTGTAAAATTATTTGTCTTGTTAGCCTGAAAATTTGACTCAAATTAAGTGAAAAATATCTGCYAATGAAGTACGAAAATTTTACTTGGTAATATTCTTGAAATACTTGATTTGACTCAAGTTTTTCTTATTTCAGGATTCTTACCAAGTAAAAATTTCTTACTCCATTGGCAAATTTTTTTGACTTAATTTGAGTCAAATTTTCAGGCTAAAAAGATAAATAATCTTACACATTCTGAAAACAAGATTATTATTGTTACACAAATCAGTTCTTGTTTGGTAAATCAGTCTCAAAACAAGATCAAAAAGACTTTTTGGCTGGATATAAGATTTTAAAACTTGGTTAGGAGGACAATTTTTGCAGTGCAGGTTTCACAAAATCCTATTTAAAACGTCCGAAAGACAGTGATGTTCATCTCTGCAAGGAATGTTGCCTTTATCTTTGAAAAAAATATCAAACATTACCATAGAGATGGTGCTAATAATAAGCCACGTATTTTCATCCTCACAAAAAAATAAAACAATTAGTGAGGAAATATGTGCCCCTAATTTATTATGAATCATAATCATGAAAAACCACAGCACACACACCTCTGATGATAACCTCTCTCTGTCACTCTTTTATAATGTTCACTTGCTTTGCATAATCTCCTTCGCACTGAGTTCCAATTAAGTTTTAGTAACAAGTTGCCTAGTTTGTGTTTAGGTGCAGAGGGCACGGGAATCAAATGGTCTCAGCAGCTTTTTTTTAAAGTACATGCAGGTGATTCTCAGGGGAGCGTTGTGTGATGATACATCAGACGTGTTGCATTGAGTAAATGACTCACTCACACCACTCTGAGCTTGCACAGTGTCCTCCAATTAATGTTACTGATGGAGTGTTTTAACCTTCTCGTTGTCAGTTTATCCCCCAGATGCTTTTCAGGAGACAAGAGATGATCCTGCAGAACCCAAACAAAATGAATCATTGATGCTGAGTGGCTGAATGTCTGCATCGTTTTACTGTGTTATTTACCTTTCTTATATAATCAATTACCACAATTTAATGATGCATGCAGAATCTTTTAAATTTGGTGCAATGAGTTTAGAAAGCAAACAACATGCTCTTATTGAATTACCATTTGCATGCAAACATCAATTTAAACATTATTGATAAACTGCATTAATGTTGCTCACTGACAGTCCCTCTCTGTAATACTTTTATAACTCGTTTCTCAACATGAACCCCCTCACTTTTCATACGTGACACATATCTGCAGTTTCCAGTCAGCAGCGTATCATTTCTACTGACAGATTGGTGCTCCAGTGGCAGGCGACTAAAGGGACGTCAAAGGGGTGTCAAGATGGAAGAGCTGTAAAGGGCAACGGCTAAGAGCAGGCAGGCATCCCTTTTAATTACATGCTTCGTTCAGAACTAATCAGATGTTGCTAGGAGAAGCTGCGGAGCGCATCGATACCTGCAAGCACAGAGGAGGAGGATGGAGAACAGCAGGGATGTGGAAAAAAAAACAGGAACACTGACAAGTCTGAGGAAAAATAATAATTGTGTTTACATTTTAAAGGTTGAAGTTTAAATTTGAGTGGGCTTGTTTGTGAAAATGGTTCAAATTAATTTATTAGGGACATTTGTTTCATTTAAACGAGACGACGGTTTTAAAGCTGATAGCTACACAAAAACTCACAAATGAAAATAAAAATATTTTTTGTGAATCTAGGACATTTTTTCCCCATTTTTATGGTTAAAATTAAGATCATCCTGTCGGTGTGAGAAGGGGAAAAAATAATCAATGCAAATGTCACTCTACTTGTAGGTTGGATGATTGTATTTCCTTACCAGGATGATCAAGTGG